ATTATTTGATTTCATGAGACCATAACTGGTTATGGGTTTCAAAGAAATGAATATGAATCTTGTGTATACAAGAAGACTAGTGAGAGTACCATAGTCTTTCTTTCTTTATATGTAGATGACATATTATTAATGGAGAATGATGTTCCTACTCTATCCTATGTAAAGACTTGGCTGAGTAAGAACTTCTCCATGAAAGACTTTAGAGATGCAAGTATGCTCTTGGAATGAGGATCTATAGGGATAGATCAAGAAAGCTGATTGGCTTAAGTCAAAGTACATACATTGACAAGATTCGCAAACAATTTCACATGAAAGAATCTAAGAGAGGGAACTTGCCAGTGATCCAAGAAGTTAGTCTTTCCAAGACTCAAGAACCTTCCACAGAGGAATAAAAGAAACACATGAAAAACGTTCCATACGCCTCTGCCATTAGATCGATCATGTATGCCATGATATGTACGAGACCTGATGTCGCCTATGCACTTAGTATTAAGAGTATATACCAATCCAATCCTGGTGACAGTCATTGGATAGTTGTGAAGACCATCCTTAAGTACTTACGAAGAACTAAGGATGAATTATTGGTTTATGGCGAACACGAAGAGCTTAGAGTAACTAGTTACACTGATGCAAGATTCCAAACGAACATGGATGACTCTAAGTCACAAGCAGATTATGTATATTGTCTAAACGATAGAGCTGTAAGCTTAAGCACAAGGGTTAAGCACAAGGGTCACACTTCGTTCATGGGCATTCGAGAAATGCATAATTGGCCTTAGTTCTAGTGGGAGATTGTTGAATATATGTAAGCCCTAGAGGCCAACTTATGATTTGTATCTGGATTATTTCAAGAATAAAGACTGTTTAAATTATCTCGTGTACTTTGAGCATAAATTTAGTCCATAGATTAGTGCTCTAGTAATATAGATGAGAAATACGATGTTTTGATTGTGAGACTCTTACAAATATAGAGACTAGATCTAAAATATCCTTAGTCGAATATTATGATAATTCGGACGTCATAATATACTACCTCCGTCCTAGTGTATTTGTCCAGTTTGACTTTTTCGAGTCAAACAGGACAAACTTTGAAGTCCAATTACTCTTAATTTATATTGCATATTAGCATAATGATATACTATTTTGAAAGTTCTCAATACAATAAATTCAATAAAGTCATTTTTATGATAAAATAGATTACGATTTTTATTTAATTGAAGCTCAAAGTTTGTCCAGTTTGACTCGGAAAAGTCAAAGTATATTGGATATAGACTAATACGTGTGAGATGAGATAGCTGCGTTTCATAGGCTATAGATAAGGCGTTATCTAATTCTATATGTAGGCAAATATATTGGATATATTGCTGGAGTGACACGCCATGAAAATACTATATGGGTATACCATGAAATGTGTTAATAGTATTTTTATACGACCATTTATGTAACTATCCTTGGACTTGAAGTCATTACGACTCTTGTTGAGTACAGCTACATGTTTTGAGATATAATTAATGCCATTTGAAATATTAATGGACGTATAATTATGTCTTGGGCATGTAGTAAAACTTAATAAAGAATGTGAATGATGTTGATAGAATTATCATATCCCTTTCTTTATAGAAGTATAATATATATGGTCCCATTGATTGATGTTACTTGGGAAGTGTATGGCAATACCCAGATAAATTAATATACATGATATTAATATCTGAATCCCACAAGCCAATCAAGATAATCAGTAAACCTTTGATTTAACTTTAACAGTGTAACACATCCCATGCCTTGTGTTAAATCATGATATTAGTGATAAAGGGATAAGAGTTATTAAATGCAATAAGTCATTGAAGGGGTTGTTCTAAGAGCTTCATATCTATAATTTGGGGGTGACAATGTGTTGCTAGATACTATTTGTTACTTGTAATAATTTTTATTATGGCCAACGCTAGGGTAACCTAGAAGAGGGTCACACACGTAGAACATTTGATCGTGTATATTATTGTTATGGAGTAAAGTAAAATATTTAATAAATATTTATACATATTGCGTATGACACAATATTTATAGAGTATATATATTTGGACATTTTAATTAGGGAAAAGTTCCCATGACATTGGGAACCAATGTCATGGGATGACCCGGGGGCGCTCCGGTGCCCCATTCGTAAAATTGACAGTTCCTACCCCCTAATCCCTCCGGTAATTCCCCCCACCCCGCCCCGACCCGAACACACCCCCCACCCCTTTCAATTGCACCCCACAAGTTGATTTTGACTTTTGAGTCAAATCCCTCCACCCTGCCCCGACCTGAACACACCCTGTAACGCCCTACAAACCGGCCTAGTTTTAAATAAATAAATATTAATTATTTATTGAGACTCATTGTTTTAAATACTAAATATTGGGATTTTGATCTCATTAGATGGCTTTTCAAAGCTAATGTATTTTAATATAAACAGATGTTTTAATAACGGACCTCTCAACATTAATTAAATGAATTAATTAATGATTGGGGTGGACCTGGAAGTTTGAAAATAAAGTTTTTAGAAAAATTATTTGAACATGTCATTAAATTCATTTTGACTGTCTGATTCCAAAAACGCAAATGGATCTCAATTCGGACCCGTTCGGGGGAAGAAACGCGTACCGTTCAGGTCAGATTTTAACATAACGGAGTAAAATAAATAATTATACCCCCATCACTCACACGTCCAGCCAATCTCTTCCACTCCCCAAATCAATTCTCTCATTATTTCACTTAACTCACCATAATGTCCCTCATTATAAAATACATTCCCCTCCCTTCACTCATCCCACATTTGTAACCCCCATTTCCATAACTCACACACTTCCTCTCCCTCTTCCTCTTCCCCAATTCGGCTAAGGCAGCAGCAGCCCAGGGGAATCTCCGGTGGGTGCACGGTTGAAGGTGAAGAAGAAGGAGAGCTAGTCCGTTCGCGCAAAGCGTAGTCATCGTTCCTCGTCATCTTTGTAGCTTCAACGCATCGTTTAGAGGCGAGTAGTTGTCCCCTCTAATTCTAGAACATTTAGTTATAATCTATGTCGTTATATTCATAGCAATATCGTACGCAACCTACGTAGAATCTATGCATGTTCGTAGGTTAGCCATCAAAACGTTCACTACGTAAAAATCGTATATATTAGCCTAGGAATCACTAGGAATATACTCATCAATGTTTGTATTATTGTTCTAAAAAGAATCAAGGTGTTAAGGTTGCAAAATGGATCAAAACGTAGCCAAGGACAGAAGACTGTCACCGGGACGGTCGACCGTTACTTCAGACAGTGGACCGTACCCTCGGCCAGTCCAACGGTCACCGCCGGGACGGTCGACCGTCATCCGTGACGGAAGACCACGGTGGACCGTCTGTGACCCAGACCCCATACCATAGCCCACGCTCGACCGCCGGTAGGGTACGGTCGACCGTTCCACGGGCAGATTTCGGGCAGTTTGTAGAACAGGCCCCATTTGACCAGTTTGACTCAGAATCTGATTATGTGTTTGCATGAAATGTTAATATTCATTATGTGTGTTATTTAATTGATATATTCTTGGCGTTGACCAAAGGTAAATACATCAAGCATTCATCATGTTCATTCTAGACGCATCTACTAGGATCATCATCATGTGCATACCGCTATAGGGAGGTCAGGCTTCCGTGCGCCTACTACAGTGGGCCCGTCCAGGAACCTTTGGGATCCAACGGGTTTTCATCAGGTGGGCTTCGTGTACGTACATGGTAGTCAGGCTACGGCTACCACCCGGTTTTTGCTAGTTCACTTGCGACGTTTTGTCGAGCCCGGGTCATTACCGGAGTGCAGGGGTGATCCTGTCAAGTGAGACTAAGTCAGGGGTGTCCCTAATAGCTTAAGTCATGCATCAAGTCATATTGTCATCATGTATGTTTCATGTCACGTCAACATTCAAGGTGGTCGTCATCATCATGTATGTTCCACATCACATCAACATTCAATGTGGTTGTTATTCATTTTGTTATGTGTAATAATATCCCATCAAGTGCAAATTAATCTGTTAGTAAACATGTGGTTTTTCGTACGTTAAGTACAGGTATTAATATGTGTATAACCATATGGGTTATCACTTAATGTTCTTTTGTTAGATTCACTCCTCAGCTTATGCTGAGCGTGTAGTTGTTTTTGCTACACGCAGGTAGACATGACGGTGCGGGTGCTAACCCTGGAGGACAGTGATGGTGGGAAGATGGGCGGCGCATGGACAAGTTCAATAATTAAATACATTAAATTAATTAATCATTTGGGCATGAACCCACAATTTGTCGTTTTACTCATTTATTTACTTCTGCTTTTACTCTGCATTTATATCACTCACGTTTTGGACATAACTCCTAGCATTTATTACACCAATTAAACACAAACGTTTTCATAATAAATAGTTATTATTATCCCATCAATTAAACGTAACCGTTTTCTTAATAAATAAACATTAATGTTTTTGTAATGGACGGTTCTCGGACCGCCCATGTAACCCTACCGGACCGTTGGGTCGCGGGGAATCGGGTCCACGGAAAGCGGGTGTTACACACCCCCCACCCCTTTCATACATACATACATACATACATACATACATATATATATATATATATATATATATATATATATATATATATATTTATATATTTTTAAGGGAATTTATTAACAAAAAGGAAGTACAAGATAGGGAGTGGCCTAACCCCAACAAACCAGCCAAGCAATATTCCAAGCAAAAAACCAAATACAAAAGGCTCAAAACAACAAAAAAGGAGTACGGGACCATGGTTGAAGTTGTAATCTTGCAAATATCCCTTTAAAATATCATCCACCAGTAGTTGTGAAGAATTACTGCTTCATGACCTGTGCTTTTTGTCTGCATTATCAAGGGAGCATCCTGATAAGGCTAAGGCGACGAATATCCCTACAAGCAAGAGTATATAAACACAACAACAACAACAACAACCCAGTTAAATCCCACAAGAGTAGGATCTGGGGAGGGTGTGTGTACGCAGACCTTGCCCCTACTCGAAAGTAGAGAGGCTGTTTCCAAAGAGACCCCCGGCTCAACGTCGAAAGTTGCATTGCTTGACTAACTGCTACTTCATTAATTAAAGAAGCGCAGACAGTTTAGAGATCCATTTTGATTTATTCCATCACACCCCAAAGCCAAAAAATGGTGAAATTTTGGCTCCATCGGAGATGATGGAACTAAAAACCAGAGTGCAATAGTTGTCCCCATGGCCAATTCCATATGCCCACAGTCAAAGTAGGGCCATGCTGTAGCTCCAAACCGTAGTAACAAAGGCATAAAACAAGTTGATCCAGTGGGGAAAATTTACCCCCTTTATCTAACCGCGTGCACCCTGTTAATAATCTTGACGATGGAGATCCGGAGGTGAGCTCACCAAATAGGATCAGGTCACAAGAAGAAGAAAAACAATAGTTGTAATATGCTACTCCGTATTACCCAGACTTTTTGAAAGAAAAACCAGGGACCATGCCGTTGAATGTTGACCTCTTTGCAACAAAATGCTTTATAATATAAACACATATGAAAGAATCCAATACTGAAGAATAAAAAAATTAGAGGAAACCATCTTGAAAATCATCCCAGTTCGGATCCACTACCTTAGCAAGCTTAGCCTTCTTTTTTGCTTTCCTTTTTTGGCTTCGGGTAATGGGATGATGGTGGGTTTTAGGAGCAGTCTCCTTCTTAACTGGACAGCTTTGTTTGAAGGCTTCAATTATATCATTAGCGAAGGAATTGGCTGAGTCATCTGATTCATCTAACAAGCCCAAAGGATTATTTTTTCTACCTTCAGTAAGCAGCCTCTCTTTACTTCTAGTGACCATATGAGATGGAGAGAAAGTTTTCCGACCTTTAAACACCCTTCCCAGAAATAATGGTGTCTTGGAGCACCTTGAAATGTCTATTTGGAGGGGTTTAAGTCTATAATCTATAAAGGCCCTGTCCTCTCCATCTGAGTGTGTGTAAAGTATAGGCTCATCTCTTTCATGTGGCAAATCCTCAATGGCATTGTTGGAGAGTGCCATATTCCTTCCATCAATATTTGCCAATGGATCATCTGAAGCAAGTGGTTCCAATGATGTTTCAATGGCATCTTCTTGGCTGAAAAGTGCTGCAAAGGAATTAGGCATAGAGGGAATGAATTCGTTGGCAAAAGGAGAAAGACTGAACCTTGGCAACGGGGGGTAGAGGATGGAATAGGGTTGGAGGTTGTCTTCTAGGCCTTGGACAGGATCAATCTGCTTACCCCTAGCTACTTTGTGGAGAAAACTAGGTTGTGCATCTTCCTTGATGACCTCTACGTTCAGAGGAGTCTCTGCAGCATCAGGAGGTAAACCAGATTCTGCAACAACCATACAATCTGAAATTGTGCTATCCTCCTCCTCCCCAAACTTAGATTGAAGTACAAGTGTATCTTTTACCAAGTCTGTGGAATGAGATCGAATTAAGGGAGGCCCTTCAGAGAGAGTAATAGGCTGCGGTTTGTCCTGTGCAGAAGTTGAATTTTTGGTGACCTTCTCCAAGAAGAAAGACAAAGCCTTGTAAAGCAGATTGAAATCATTGTTTCTATGGCCCGACGGAATTAATATGAATTTCTTCCCTTCCCTTCTCTTCTCCAGAATTTTTATGTATTCCCCTCTACGATTTGAGGCAGCAGAGACTTCTATGGTGCAGTTAGCCCCAAAAGAGAAAAAGAGCCCAAGTTCTATTGACACAAATTCTGTGAAGAGATTCTAAAATCCATCTAAAAGTTTCCAAATCAAACCAAAGATGGTATTTCTTAAACCCACACTCCATTAAACAGAAATTTTTGTTGTAATGAGAATGGAAGAGCTCGAATACCTTGTTCTGGGTTTTAAAGCTGAATCTCAAGTTACGACTAGGCTTTGTAGAGAGGGATGGCTGATTGAGATCATGCTGAGCCAGACGGGAGTTGCTGAAAATATATGAGTCACTTAAATTTTGCGTTTGTGGAGATCTAAATGGCCATCTTCTCTGCCACTTCCGAAGGGTAAAGGCCTCTTTGCGATGAGATTCAACCTTGGAGTAAAAAGATCTGTCCCTTCCCAAAGAAAATTGATGAGGGCGCCGGGCTTGAAGGGAGGAATACCGGAAACCACCATTGAATCCGAGGTTAAGGTCTTGGTGAATGTAATCGCCTATAAAATGCCGGTGGCCGCTCCTCCTTCTCTCTAGAAACGTCATTTTATATATATATATATATATATATATATATATATATATATATATATATATATATATATATATATATATATATATATATATATACACGTCACTACATACATACATATATATATATATATGTGTGTGTGTGTGTGTGTGTATATATATATATATATATGGGCCTGTTCAAGTGAGAATGCACCTTGGTGAAAGAAATAAGAATAAAATCTAGCCTTTAGATTTGATGCATCGTGCGGCTCAGATTGCATCCTGCCCTCAGATTTTGAAATTATGCATTTTCAAGGGATTATGGTGCATTTCGACATAATGCATTTTCAAACCATTTTGGTGCACCTAATTTTGATGCAATCCTAACCCTTAGATCTCACAATCTAAAACACCAGATTCATTCTTATTTCTTTCATAAGATCGCATTCTCATCTGAACGAAAATCTTTTATATATATATATATATATATATATATATATATATATATATATATATATATATATATAAAAGATCATAAGGCAATGTTTACGAACTAGCGTTTCATTTCAATTCATGCATTTCAATTCTAAAATTTAAAATCTTGAATTTCAAATGACAATGGGAGGCACATGGATTTCAAATTAAAGTTATTATGAATGAGAGGAATTTGACTCAAATTCAAATTCAAAATTTTTAATCTTTATCAAACATGAAATTTGATCCAAATTTGAATTTGAAATTCAAATCCATGTTACCAAACATACCATAAAAGAATTTAAATTTGGCATATCACTAATTATGGTTAAAAATTAAAATAAAATGAGCTTATGTCTTTAAAAAAAATTACTCCGTAGTTTAAAAAGGACAATTTCAAAACTTTTAAAAATATACTGTTGAAATTAAGGGCATTCGTGGGACACATGTAAAATCAACATAGGAGAAATAAATAAGCTAAAGAGACAGTGTACTTCGTTTCAGACCGTCTACGACGAAAAAATTCGTGCACACCATTTGACTTTATAAGTAGAGCATAGTAAGTAGTCCGTATATGACAAATATGCATATAATGATAAGTGATGACCGACCGCCCACTTGCAAATTGCTTTCATGGAAAAGTATTCCACCATTCCTTCTTGGCTGGCTGCGTTGGAGAATCTCATTCCACCCTAATTTGATCAAGACCTTTATGAAACTTGCTACACTCCGTACGTATATCTTTACCTCTAAACATTGTGTTTATGTTAGACTATAAAGACTATAACCCGTGTCAGATCTAGAAATTTTGGATAATTGGGGACAATATTGGTCGGGGTTTTGGGAGTAGCGTTTTCAATTTTTTTATTGTCAAAACTATGTATGAAATAATAGAAAAATAGTGAATTTTATATCAAATATTTTATGAATGTGAATTTTTTATAAACAACGGAAAAATTTATTTTATAAACAATTATTTATATGCAATGAAACACACTTTAGTTGGGACCCCCTCAATTTAAATTGGGGGCTGTCAACTATCTAACTCAATTAACTCAATTAAAAGCTCAAACTTTTGGTTGTAGGTCCAGAAATTATTTTTCTATTCTAACACGGGAGAAAGATCAAAGTAGGACTAAAACATTGAAAATATACCAAAATAGGACTTTCATGTTTTTATTCCCGAAATAAGACTTACATTACCAAACATGGTCATATACATTACAAAAAAAGTATAGTAATGTGTGCATGTACATGGTCTAACACTCTCTCTCATGTGCACTGGCAGACCTACATAGATCAAGAGGAGTCAATTGACTCCACTTGACAATCTATAAGTTCGGTATATATAGTCATGTACATATACTCCCTCCGTCCCTTCTTGTTGTGCGTTACGATGTTACGATGTTTGACTGATGTTATTTTTAAATCATTTTATTTGAAAAATGGTGTGAAATTTTAAAATAAAAATTACATATTAAAAAACTATATCAAAAGATCTACAAAACTAGAGGTGACATGACTATATTATTTTATCAAATGGGTAACGAAAATAGGCTAACAAAGCTAATAAAGTTTGACCCTGTGAATAGTGAACGGAAAGTTTATTTGTGAATGGAGGGAGTATATAGTTGCTTGTAGCTAAATTGGCTCTGGCCCATTCTATCATCTGATTGAAACAAGTTTTTATCTAATCTGAATGTAATTATATTTAAAGCTATTTCTAATCTGGTCTGGGCTGGTCTAATTCTAGTAAGATTAAGTAATAAGTGAAAAAAATAAGTTGATGAGAACATGGCCTAAGCCTGACCTTTTAAATAAATATTTATGTGTCTATACATTAATTTTGTACTACATTTATTAAAAAAATTGTACATGTAATACTTCGTATGTGTAAGTGTTGATTCATTCATTTGATTTTTCACGCTCTTAAATGCAACACTTTCACTACTACAAAATACTATCTAAATTTGATTGACGTTGAGTTTCAAACCTGTGCCTTCTTAGTAAACAAGGCTTCGATACAACTGTTGGGTTTTAGAACCCGGGACCTAGGAGACTAGGTAAAAGAGCATCGAACAAGAGTCGAGTATGCTAAGTTACAAAGAGTCGAGAAAATAGGTGAGTATGAAAGTAAAAGTGAACGTGTCTTTTCCTCTCTTGTAAAGGGATTTTTATACCAATTACAGTTGGGCCTTCCGACCATTAGTCTATGGCCTAGCGGGCCAGGCCCACCAAGTTCCTTTGCTGTCATCTCTCACTATTGTGTTAGTTGGAATTTTGTAACTCTAGCTGACATTATTTTTTGGCAAAAAAATATATCTTATATGTTGTAGTTTTTAGCCATTTTGTGCAAACTGAAGCTATAGCATCCCGTGTGTCATTTTACTGAAGCTAGTACTTTGTGATTCTCCATTCTACCAATCTACAATCATAAAGGAATCCTGATGATTGAAGAAGTCTTTTTGCTCAATGATATTTGTTGGACTTTATTTATTGATATAGCATCGTACCTAGCTATGTGAGTTTGTAACGCAAGACTCAAAGAGTTGGATTTGCAATAGGTATGTTTTTATGGGTAGGGCATCAATAAGAGTCTTACATCTTTTGGGATTCTTTTAAATGGAGCAATGCAAACCGTGGCCTAATTTCATTGGAGTGTTGGGCCGGCCTCTTGCATCGAATAACTTATTGCGCAAGAATTTTCCAATAAGGCTGCAAGATCAGAGAGAGAGAGAGTTCATCATACCCAAAGAGATCACACCATTCATGAATACCTATGTGTGATGTTTTGAAGCTTGGTTTTGCACAAAACCTTGGAGGAGCACAACGAGCACTAATTCACAGTTAATGATGGTTATGTTCGTCATCCTATCCAGAAGTTGAATACCTTCTTGATGTAGAGAAGGTTGGTAAGAACGTTCTTGGAGAAGGTCTCGAAGAAGGTGTAACTAGCCTTTGAAGAGAGCTCAAACAATGTTGAAATTAGAAGCCTTATAAGTTAGGTAGATTTTGTCATAAATATTTAGAAGACACATTCTATTGTTTGTGATTGGTGTAATCTATTACATTGATTTATTGAAGAGCTTTTACACGAATGTGGCCCCACAGACATAGGAGATTTTTTTCCGAATTGCGTAAACAACATTCTGTGTCCTTTATTGCTTTACATTATTTTCTTATACGCTTATCACATAAAATATGATATAGCCCTTTATTTGTCATCAGTGTCTGTGATATATAAGTGCTATATATATATTAGCATCTTCTTGGTACATTTGCTTGTTCGATCTCATTTGCGTGCAAAGATAATATTTATTGGGTAAACTGTACACCATACAAAATTTTAATCCACTTGTTTTATGAGTAAATTCAAAACTCTAACTACGTACGAAGTACATGCCAAACACATTCAAACTGAAACCAAGACCACAACTAGACTTGCTTTCAACTGATCCTATTGTGCCTTCTCGAGGTCTCCGACAAGGTGATCCTCTTAGCCCATTATTGTTTATTATCTGTGCAAAGGGGTTGTCTTTCTTATTACATAATGCAGAAAGTAGAGGGTTGTTGCATAGTATTCGGGTGGCTCGTGGTGCGCCTTCGATTTCACATCTTTTGTTTGCGGATGATAGCCTCCTTTTTACAGAGCTAATCAAGTGGAGGCCGGTGAGGTGCTCTGGTGTCTGTCAGAGTACGAAAGAATGTCGGGCTAGGTTGTTAATTCTCCTAAATCTAACATTTGTTTCAGTGCCAATACCATGTGGAGTCATAAAGTTTGGCTAACCCGGTTCTTTGGTGTTGTGCAAGCAAATGACTTTGGCAAGTATCTGGGACTTCCCTCATTTTCGGGAAGGAATAAAACGACAGCTTTTTCATATCTTTCGGATAAGATTAAGCAACGTTTGAGCTCTTGGAATAAGAAGCTTTTGCTTGAAGACGGTAGGACAGGCCATGCCTCAATATGCAATGAGTACTTTTTTACTTCCTTGTTCGTTTTGCTTATCTATTGAGCATGCAATGAACTCTTTTTGGTGGTCTAGCAAAGGCGAGCATAACAGAGGTATCCATTGGATGGTTTGGGGGCGTATGACATACCCTAAGAAATTCGGAGGCATGGGGTTCCGTAACATCTCAGCTTTTAATGTTGCGCTTTTGGGTAAGCAAGGTTGGTGTTTTGTTACAAACCCAGCGGCATTAGTTTCTCGGGTGTTTAAGGCGAGGTACTTCCTGAAGACCTCTTTCTTTGATGCAAAGCTTGATCGTAATCCTAGTTAGAGTTGGAGGAGCATATTAGCAGCACAAAGTTTGTTGTCCTCGGGTGTTAGAAGGCGAGTGAGGAGTGGTTCGAATACTCGTACATGGGGTTCACCATGGCTCTTAGATGACATAAATCCTTGTCTTGAGACCCCGGTTACGGTAGCCACAAAAAGCATGGTGGTGGCCTCTTTTATGTATGAGAAATTTACCTAAATAGGACTAAAACATAATGACTTTCCCAATATAGGACAATATGTTTTTATTTCCCAATGTAGGACTTTTGGTCATTATCAAGTAGTCATTATTCATGTAAATGTCCATCATTACTGGACATTATTCTTCCCACTAGGTCATTATTAAGTCCTATTTAGGGAATAAAAAAGTTTAAGTCCTACATTGGGAAAATCATTATGTTTTAGTCCTATTTAGTGCAAATTTTACTTTATTTATTCAACTTTGGGAGGATGGAACATACCGATGCTTGAAACTTACTTGATTCCAAGAGATGTGCATGAGGTCTTAAAAATCCCAATCAGCCAGTCTTATGAGGATTGTGTATATTGGAGGGGTGATCTAAGAGGAAGCTTTACACAGTTAAGGATGGTTACTGGAGACTTATGGGGGAAGCGACGAATGTTACGAGATTTTCAAACTGGGGGAGATTATGGAAAATTCTTGTTGCCCCAAAAGTCAGAGTATATATTTGGAGAGCTTTGAGGGGCATTCTTCCAACAAGCGACGAATGTTTCAAACTGGCGGACATTTAGGTGAGTCTATTGATCATATTTTTTGCGCAGTCCTTTTTCTGTTGTAGTTTGGGAGCTTTTGGGACTTCATATTTTTTGAATAGGGGCGTTGTCTTTTGAAGTTTGGTTCCAAGCTAAGGGGTATATGTTGTACTTTTGATGCACTTTACTTTCTTTTCATTAATAAAACAATTTATATTCACAAAAATAAGAATTTAATTATTCTATATAATTGTTATTTATCTTTAATAATACATTCTATATTAATTATAGTTTTTTTTAAACAATAAAAATTGCCGCATTTACATGTGCGGTGCGTTGAAAACACTTACAAATGTGGCAAACGAAAAGATTAACAACACTTATAAGTGTGCTTAATGTAGTAATTTGCCACACTTATTTTATGTGTGGCAAAATTTTTTCCACATTCCCCGCCACCACACTTAGCACATGTGTGGCGAACACTCTTTCCCGCACTTATATGTGTTGCGAATAGCAAGTTTAAGTGTGGCAAAAGCCGCATTTTCTTGTAGTATCTTCCTCAACCTCAAGCCTGGAACTTCTGACAATATCTTGGACTATTTGGTCAATTTGGAAAGCCCGTAATAGGGATGTGTGGGAACACATGGTGCAGCTTCCAAGGTCTACAGCTTTGCAGGTGAAGGCTTTTTCAACGGGGGTGGACTGACGCGGCTGCCTCTTTGAAGAGTGGAATTGAGAAGCTCAATTGCTGCAGTTCCAGGTCTGCTACCCCAACCCATCAGTGCTGTGAGTGCTGTGACAGGGGAAGAGTTGTGCTTTGTAGATGCAGTTGTTTTCCCTCCGTCTGGTTTGGTTTGTTTTGGATGCGTGCTTTTGGGTGAAGACCGCTTGTTCCAAGCAATAGTCAATGGTCGCTTGATCTGTGTGCAAGAACCTTTGATGGCAGAAGCCATGGCGTGTCGTGAGGCATTACTCTGGTTGAAAGGTAAGGAGATTCGTGCATACAATTGTCTACAGTTGGTCACAGCTATTATATTGAACAACGGGATCATGGCCCCTTTTATTCATATCTTGGTTCGTTGATTGAAGACTGTTATGTTTTACTTTCTTCCTGTGAGTCTGCATCCGTATGTTTTATACGTAGATCTTTCGATTCTGTTGCTCATACTTTAGCGAGAAGTGCTTCTACACATCGTTTTATGTGGGATGACACTCCTCCGATCCTGAACTTATTGTGGACCTTTTTGTTAATCAATGAATTAAAATTTCGTTTCAAAAAAGTAATTAACATATGCAGTAAAAAAAGTAACGCCAGAGATTCCTTAGAAGAATGTTGTACCCTCAAGAGTCAAGACCACAAGGATAACATTGTTAGGTTCTTTCTTGTTTTATTTTCTATTCCGTATCAATTTTTAATTTATAGTCTTTATAGACCAGCTTACTTTTATGAGTAGTTCACTCTACTCATATTGTATATTCATTTTCTAGCATGCATTCATTTGAGTCACACAAAAACACCGACCTAATATTATTTGGACCCAAACCGATATGGTCAGTGGCGGACCCAAGAATTTTGAGGAGTGGGTTGACATTTTGTGCACAAAAAAATGTTGATATTTGTATAACAATAAATTTAAAATCTTAAAGGTAAAAAAAAGTATCAATAAATAGCATTCTGAGATTAATATTGTGAATTATATGCAATATTTTTGAAATACTGTATAAAAAATATAATACGCTCATTGTTTTAACCAAAAAAATTAAAAAACTAAAGTAGTAATTTTAGACATTTCTTCAAATACTAAGTATATCTTAGGAATCTTTTTAAAACAATTAAACGTGTTCATACATTTCAAAAAAAATTGAACATTTTATAATTAAGTTTTATAATGAAAGGTAAATCAGTTTTCCAAATCTAAAAGAATTGAAACATAAAATTCTATACAACTATAGAATGTGTCCTCTCTTCCATTTTTAAAAAATAGAAACTAATCACATATAAATATACTCTCCTTGGATGCCCTTAGCCTACCTATAATATCTAATTATATACTATTACTAATAAATAATTTTTTTTGGAGTGGGTGCAAGTGACCCCACTGCAGCCACCCTAGGTCCGCCCCTGGATATGGTACCATGCTGAAAGTAAATTTTCAAAATGGTTTTAGTAAATAATACTTATTTCGAATAAGACCTTTTTGTTATCGAAATGGTACCGGACAGCTTAAAAAATGACAATTGAAAATACAGAACTAACGAGACCATTATAAATAAAATGGTAAATTATTAATTAATTATTCATCCTAGCTTAGTTATTTTTTTACTTTATATTTTTAGCTCGCTCTTTAATTTGCTCTGATTATAAATTACTGAATCTTTGTCTTTTGTACTCGTGTACACCAATGAATTACACTTTTTAATCAACATAAAAAAAGTCATCTTTTTAGGATTCATTGATTTTATTTACAAATTAGTATAGACATAAAAAAGTTACATATTACTTGGTAACAATTAGATTAAAAGTTTTACAATAAAAGAAGAGACAAAAATATATTTTACTTTATCAAATGGTCGATGAAAAATATACAAAAGAATCAATGTTAAAAGGATGCCATAGTAATAAATGTGTAATTAATTTGGGAATGGAGGGAGTATTATTACTTTATAATCATAATTTGTAAAAAATATATTATTGAACAATGCATTTATTATCTAAGGACAAAAAATTATCACCAAGATTCCCATGACATTGGGAACCAATGTCATGGGATGACCCGGGGGTGCTCCGGTGCTCCGTTCGTAAAATTGACGGTTCCTACCCCTCTAACCCCCCGGTAAACCCCCACCCCGCCCCGACCCGAACACACCCCCCACCCCTTCAATTGCACCTCACAAGTTGATTTTGACTTTGGAGTCAAATTTTGACTCCAAAGTCAAAATCAAATTGTGAGGTGCAATTGAAGGGGGTGGGGGGGTGTGTTCAGGTCGAGGCGGGGTGGGGGGGTTTACCGGGGGGTTAGGGGGGTAGGAAACGTTAATTTTATGAACGGGGCACTGGAGCACCTCCGGGTCAAATTAGTTCCCAATGTCATGGGAACCTTGCCCAAAAATTATATATGTGCACCAAATATTTTTACGTTAATTGTTTAAATTTTTAATGAAATTATGTTTAATCTGTAAAAAAACTATGTTATGGTTTGGCACTGTAATTGCATTGTACCGTACTGTTCCAATGTGACATGGTACCGAATGATTTAGATCATAAAATTGAATCGTAGTAAACGGGTTTAAATATTAATGGTACAATACTGAGTTATATGGAAATCAGGAACTATTGCGAACCTAACTGTGCCCATCTTTAATTTAAGAAGAGGCTAGAGGAAGTGTGTTAGAGCATGTTTTTTTTCGAATTATTATTACTTATTACCTATTTTTTAATGCAATTAGATCACATCCGATCAAAAATATTTTTTAAGGCTAGAGGAACTGTGCCCATATTTTTTAATACAATTAGATCACATCAGATCAAATGAAAAAAACAATATCTTAATTATCCTCTCACAGTTTGACTTTTTTGACCAAATTGTGGCATCCATTGATCGTGAATTATATAAAAAGTATATTTAGTTATAATATAAATTTTGTAAAATTGAGTTTATTTTAAAAAATGGTTTTGAAATATCAAAATTTTAAAATATTTAATTATTTTAAACTATATTTTATTCAAGGTCACACAAAAATACCAACCTAATATTCCGACCCAAGCCTATATGGTACCAAGCTGAAAATAGATTTTCAAATGGTTCTAGTAATTAATATTTCGAATAAAACCTATTTGTTATCAAAATGGTACGAGAAAACTTCTTAAAAAAAAGACAATTGAAAATTCCAAATGAGACCATTATAATTAAAATGATAAATTATTAATTAACTACTCATCTTAGCTTAGTTATTTTTTTTAATATTTTTAGCTCTTATTTCTTTAATTTGTTTTGATTTTAATTTACTGAATCTTTGTCTTTTGTACTCCATCTCTACACAAATTAATTGCACTTTTTGATCAACATAAAAAATTTCATCTTTTTACGATTCATTTAATTTATTTATAAATTGGTATAGATATAAAAAAGGTACATATTATTCCATAAAAAACTAAATTAAAAGTTTTACAAAACAAAAAAAGACAAAAGTATTTTCCTTGGTCAAATGATCGATGAAAAATATACCAAATAATCAAAGTTATCGAGATGTTGTAGTAATAAATGTGTAATTAATTTGGGGACTGAGGGAGTATTAATTTAGAACCATCATTTGTAAAAAAAAGTTATTAAACAATACATTTGTTGATGTATTGTACCGCATTGTTCCAATGTGACATGGTACCAAATAGTTTTGGCCGTAAAACTGAATCGTAGTGAACTGATTAAATACTAATGGTATTGTACAAGTCCTATAGAAATCAGGAACTGTCGCAGACTGTGCCCACCTTTGACTTAAGCAGAGGCTAGAGAGCTACTTATTCACTCTGTGTCAAAGCATGTCTTAATCAAATTATTATTACGGGGTATTACTTATGATTTATTCTTAATGGAATTATACCAGACCAGATTAAAAATATATTTAAATATAATAGAAAAGATAAGACTATTCTAGATCATACCAAATCAAATGTGACAATAATAAATTTAGATCACGTCAAATCAAGAACATACTCTCGTGGGGGTACTGGTGTCTATTTGACCTTCGTCACTTTGCAAAAGTATATCTAACAAAAAAAATTTTGAAATATTTTTATAAAAACTATTAAAAAACAAAGTTTGACTACTTTGGCTAAAACATTATATTTTATAATCTAGACTTAGGTCCCGTTTGCTTAACTTATTTCTACTATTTATTGTTTATTATTATTAGAATCAGATCAGATGTATTCAGACTAGATCAGATTATATCAGATTCATTGAGATGAGTTCAGATCAGACCAGATCCATGCATATCTGATGAGATCAATTCATATTAGAATGTTCATTGTTATTATCATTATTAATTAATAATAGAAATTTATTATCATCATACTCAATATTCATTAATAAATATACAATAATTATTTATCATCATTAATACCAATATTCATTATTAACTATCATCATACTCAATAATAATAGAAATTAATAATAATAACTAAAATAATTATTATATTAACTAATAATAATTATTATTAATAATTATAATTAATAAACATAATAATAATTTTTATCGTTGTACTTAATTCTCATGGTAATAGTAAATAATAATGATTGAAATGATAATAATGATTATTATTATTAACTAATAATAATCAATAGTAATGATATTAACAATTAAAAATAATATTTATTTGTAAGTAAATAATAAAAATAGCTATTGTTAATAATAATAATAGACTTTAACAATAATTATTTTTTTAATTTATAATTATAATTAATAATGATAATGATCATCATTAATTATATTAAATAATAAGAATTTATTATAATAATAATAATAAGAATTATTAAAATAAAAATTATAATAAAAATTTTATTAACTCATTATTACAATCAAATTATAATAAAAATTATATTAATTCATTATTTATAATATTTCTTGATAATAATTAATAATAAACTATTATTATGATTATAAACATTATTATTACTCTAATTATTTAAATTTCTATTAAATCCATTCAGATCAGATCAGATTCATTTTGATCAGATCAAATTCATTCCGATCGGGTTCATTCAAATCAAATTTATTCAGATCAACCTTAAAGAATTTAGGTCAGATCAGATTGGTCGAATAGAATGCAGCCTTAATAATTTTTCATATATTTACTTCTTGTGTAACTTGAATTCTTTAAAGCATTAAGAGCATACTACAGTACAGCTTTCAAAAATTAGTTTTGCAATTCAAAAAGAGGTAGCGAAGTATTTTATTGCATGTTTACCTTTTATTTCGATGTAGTAGATTACCTTTTTTTTTAATTTCGATGTAGTAGATTATCTTTGATAAAATATAATTTTTTTTGAAGCTAGTAGAGCAGAGTAGATTTCTTTTGAAACTATTAGTACATGTATGTTACGGGTTGCTCTGTATTATATCAAGTTAATGACTATTTTTAGACAATGTACTCTAAAGAATAGAGATCCATGTACTATTAAAAAATATACAATCAATCTTTGCTTAGAGTGTTTCTTCTTTATTAGGTATTTCAAAGCCAAATGATCAGTATAAATGGTTATCTTAACTCCTAACGGGTATATTCAATCTATATTTCTCAAGAGCAAAGATTACAACATACATTTCTTTTACATTTCTTTCTCTGTTGTGGTTTAATTCCTTTGGGCTGGGTCAAGTGTAGTGCTGGAATATGAAATCA